AGGCTCGATCTGTCCCGTTATTTCTTTCTTTCGGGGGAGACTGTTTGCTGGGAGATGCGTGTACGTTCCTAAAGCCCAGCAACACCCCGCAAAGCCCTGATTTCCTCCCCCCCTCACCCCACCTCCCCCCCCGTGGAAATGGGGCTGCTTCAGGCTGGTGGTGCTGCTGCTGCTCCAGCCTTGGCTTGGGAGGGATGGCTTGGGGAAGTTTGGCCAGGAAACGTAGCCTGAGGCAGCTTTGCAGCCCCCTCTTTGCTTGTTGCACTTTTTCCATTTGTTCCTTCGCTTTTTGCAGGCTCTGACTCAGGGAAGGTGCGTATTATCCACTAGACACGTCGAAGAAGAGAGAAACCAATTAGGGTCGAAATAAATGCTAGGGAGAGAGAGAGAGGGAGCGAGAGAGAGGGAGAGAGAGGGGGAGAGGGAGAGAGCCTTGCTTCAAATTGCTCTCGTGTTAGAGACGAAATGAGAATTTAGGGCAGGTGGCACTTTGCATTCTTATTATTCGGGTTCCCATATGACAGGCAAATCCTAAAGCGGGATGGAAATGGACATTGCTACGTTTATGGCCAAGGTTTCGACCAAAAACCAAACTTTTTTTTCGCCTTTGTCAGCGGGAGAGTTGGAGAGGGGAGCGAGCCCCGCTTCCCAGCCTGGCTCACGCTGCTGGGCACCGGGCTGGCTCCAACTCTTCGGGGAAGGGAATATTGTTTGGGGAGCTAATGAGCCTAATAAAAACGTGATGATGGTGGCGAGGGGCTGGTGGGGGCTGTAAGAAATATTGACTCCTTTGCAGGTCTGTGGGGGACGATGTTTCGTGGGAGATGAACTATTCACGTAGTTCACAGCGAGCGTGGAAGGAACTTTTGACGACCAGTGGACTCGGGGACCTCTTGTTTTCCAGTAGTAATGCCTCTTTGTTTTTTTTAGATGTTTTCACCTCCTGTGAGCAGTGGGAAAAATGGACCAACTTCCTTGGCAAGTGGACATTTTACTGGCTCAAGTATGTAACGTTTTTGTTTCGTATGTAGTGAAATTGTTGTTAGTTATTTATCCACAGGCATTACCTTTGTTGTGGTTGTGTTAATCTCTTCTGGGGAGCAGATTCATTCAGATTGGAGCGGAATTATTCCTTAGCGCTGGCTGTTATTATTATTATTATTATTTCCACAAGACCGGGACGTTTTCACAGTATTTCTATACATTTATGATTTTTATTTTTTTTAAAAAAAACCCTAAAGTTCTCCTCTCTATAATTGTTCAAGGTGAGCTAGTTTAAATCTTTTTTTCTGTTTTCAGTCAAGCATTGGAGATTTTTATTTCCAGTTTCAGATGCTAGTTTTTGCATGTCCGAAATCATAAGCAAAACATCTTGTGTGTTCAAGGTGAGCTAGTTTAAATCTTTTTTCTGTTTTCAGTCGAGCATTGGAAATTTTTATTTCCAGTTTCAGATGCTAGCTTTTGCATGTCCGAAATTATAAGTAAAACATCTTGCCTGAGAATTAATTTTGTGAATAAGAATTGAAGGCTGCTTAAATTAAATAAATAAATCAGCAAGTATCCGAGTCTAAACACCAACCTCTTCCGGGAAAAGGACTCTTTAGTATTAGAGATCACTGTTTGCTGATGGAATATTTTGGGGTGAATTAAAATCTTCAGGCTTGTTTCTTTTCTCCTGGTGGAAGGCAGGGCATTTTCTTTCTAAATATTTGCCTGCTCTTGAAGAGTCCCTGCAATTGAACTGGAGGATTTGGTTGTTTGTGTGTTTGTTTATTTGGCTGGTGTAGTACTATAGGGGCAACTCCTGCATTCCATAGAAACAGGAGTCCTGTTTGATGACAAAAGAAATACCAGAGCTCTTTTGCGGTAGAACATATGTGTACAATAATTGTCTGGCAACTAAAGTTTTATATAGAGGCTTTTATGTGCCTGACAAATTAGAAGTAAAACTAGCAAAGACACTCAGGCGGTTGAGATTTCCTTGCTCTTCTATTAAGTTGGTTTAAGAGGGTTCCCTGCCTTGCGGATGTGATGTTTTGGCCAGGACACAAATCCATCTCCGGGCAGAGAGTGTTTTAAAAGCAGGGGCAATTAGACATAGCCCCACACTGTACGGAGTATTGTTATCCGCCGAGTCCTGCTCAAAATCAGATGGGAAATTTGGACAAGTCCTCCCTGCAAACTGCCAGTAGATATCTAGATATAAACACGTCATTGCGTATAGTTTCATGCCTGGTATTTGCAGTTTGGACTCAATTAAAGGAACCTCTTCTGTGTATTCACTATAGCCATTTTTATTAAATGCACTGGTACCTCAGTTAACTTCTTATTGCCAAAGAAGGACTTCCTAATTTGAGAGCTGTCTGAAATGTGCATTTTTAAGATACTAGATCAAATGCCGCCTACAATTATTAAGCACTCATTTTGTGAATTTTATTCTACTCAGACTTTCAAAATAATAACGTGGTTTTGTTTTGTCTTCACAAATTTGGCTATATTATGAATATAGTGACTTGGAGAATTTTACTGTTAGGTTTGAATAACTTTCCAAACGTCATTTGCCTTGTATCTCACAAGCTAAAGATTTTAATCCTATTTTTTGTCAGTTTCTGAATGACATAATTTTAAGAACTGATTTAACCGAAGACATAATATTTGCTGTATTTGTTTTCACTGGAGAGAAGCAAAGAGTGTTTGTGCCAGACAAATCAATTTGTCATGCTTATATACCAGTCAATGCAGCAACTAACACTGGTCTAGCTGCAATTGACTAGATAGTTATATTTAATAAATGCATCGTAAACCTCATCTACCAAGTCATTTTGATCAGAAATACCCCAGGATAGCGAATCTGAAGAGCGAGTGGAATCGAGGGCTTATATTGGTTTTTTTATTGTCTCTAAATCTGGAAGCATTAAAGTAACTTTGACGCATCGTTTCAGCCACACAAATAATTTAATGAGCTGAAGTCAGTCAGTAATATTAAGATACAGACCGTTTAAAATAACACCTGAACCCTCCCACACTGTCACCACATGTAAATGCTCGAATCCCCCGGTCTCTGCTGGTGGAGGCTGAAGGACCCAGCCTGATAAAGGAAGGTTGGTAGCTTGTTTGCACAATGGGATGAGGCACAGGGTACGCTCTTCCAAGGGCGAATCCTGTGGAATTTCCTATGGAAATGGCTGTTGCTTGGTGACTGGAGAGGGAGCGAGTGACCAGTGATTTGGGGAAAAGTTGTCAGAGCGTGGGCACGGGCGAGTTGCCCCTGGCTGGTCGCGGGGAGAGGCTGGGCGTGCGGCCTGGCGAGGGAGTTGCGTGCAGGAGAAGCGTGGCTATTGTTCGCCGGGCTCTTGCTGGCCAGCCAGCTGTGTGCCAGGGGCTGGCTCCTTCAGCATCTCTGGGCTGCGGGCTCGCAGGGAACCCAGCGCTGGAGACCTGCAGATTTGATGTGATATAGCACCCAGACAACTGCTGCAAGAGATGTTTTCTGTTACTGGGTGGAAGGATTAAAGAGAGCTCCATGAATAACATGTGAGCAGTTTATTATTCTAATTATCCCTATTGATAATAGGAAATTTTAGCCAGCCTAACGCAGCCTGTTCTTCCTTCTGGACAGATGCCCTTCTGAAGTTTGAGCTGACCTTCTCTTAATGGTCCTCTTTTAAAAATGGTATTTACTGAGATGGGGAACCACAGATGTCATTCCTCTGCATTAACCTGAAACTTCTCTTAGGAGAGGGGAGGAAAAAAAAAAAAGCACCCACCCCAAAACCGACCCCAAAGAAAAGCAATCCCAAGCAGTGAAGTGAAACTAACTGTACTTTAGGACGGGTGGTAATATTTCATGCTTAAAGTCATCTTAATAGCTTTTTACTCATCTAATATATGATGCTCTATTGTGATTTGTAACGTGTGAATGAAAATAAAGTGAAGCCACATTTCCTTTTAATCTTTAATTTCACAAACATGGCTTCTTACCATGTTAAGAAATGGTGAGGGCTGGGAGGGAGAAAGGAATGTAACCTGAGCCACAGCCGTGACATTCCCATGGAGCATTTTTCACATGAAAGGCTTTTGTCAACCCAGTAAAGGACCAGGAGTTTTTGTTTGATGTTTGCAGGTGTTCAGCAGAGAGCACTAAAACAATTCAGCCATGCTGCTTCAGAGACTCTGACCTTAACGGGGGGAATTGGGGAAGACTGAAATTATTTTTAAGAAAACTCCCCTGGAGTTACCTCAAATTTATATTGTATTTGGAAAGTGATTTAATACCTGTTACTTAAATTGAACAATGCACCTCCGTTAGAATGAAGCCGGGTTTTTCTTTTTCCTTTTTTTTTTTTCCTTTTTTTTTTCCTTTTCCCTTTTTTTTTGGAACAGTTGCCAAAATAGAATTGATTTTCCCAGATCTTCTAAAATTTTCTGAATAGTTCACCTTAGCTTCCTTAGCATTTGTCATAATCCAAATGCAAGCTATTGTAAAATAAGGGGAAGATGATGGTTGCTGGTACTTGATTTTTGGGGGATGGATTTTGAAGCAGGTTTTTGCCAATTGTGGTACTAAAGAATTTGCTAGGTCTGTCACATTTGGTGTATTTCAGTTTCCGAACCGTTAATCAAAGCCCACATCTTCCTGATTGTGTTCAATTTCTGCTTCTTCTATTTTAAGTATTTAATTTTACCTAAGTTTTCAAGCATCTGTTAGAGATTGCCCACTGTGTATATGTTTGAATATTGTGTGGGTGTGAGTAGCAGGAAAATAACCAAATTCTTACGATTGGCCCTTCCTATTGCACACGCACAAAAAAAACGATCTAAAATCTTTGCTAGCACAGACATCACTGAATAAAGCTGTCAGTTTAAAGGATTTAAGGACTTGCTTTTAATTTTGCCATTAGTTTGATTAGGGCTTGTCCTGTATTAAAATAACAGCGATTACAAATTAATACATCTTTAACTAGGGAATCACAAATTCAGCTGGATTTGTTTTGAAGTCTTTTTTTTGCTATGGATGTGTCTGAGTAAATTATAACCAAATGTAGGTTGTATTTTTTTTTTTTTAAGTAGAGTTCAATTTTTGGAGCATGGCCTTCTGGGAAAGGGGCATAATTTTGCTGTTCTTGGTGGATCATCAGAAAAAGTGAAGTTAAATACAGTCTAGATCTTGAAAAGGTTTTGGTGGCCGCTCAGGTTGGGCACAGCTGACAGTAGGAGTAATGTGTGCGTGCTAGGGAAGAATACACCTTCACCAGGGAGGATTTAGGAAGAATGTGATTTATTTGGGGGGTTATAATGCAGAATTGAAAAGAAAAGAAAAAGAATACATGAGAAATGTTAAGCGTAGGGGTCAGAGAAGCGCTTTAATAACGCAGGGAGGCAGCTATTGGGGTTACACAGGTGACGCTGAAGGGGAGCCCGTGTCTGCAATGGTCTGTGTCAGAAAACACAGCAAACGATGATTGAATTTGGGTGTTGGCCTGGCGTGCGTGTTGCACCACGTCGCTCCCTCTGCCAGGCGGCATTCCAGCTCTCCAGGTCTCCGGTGTGCGGGGACACGGCACCTCCCGGCCCCTCCGGCCGGCTCTGCTCCCCGATGCTCCTCTCTGGCTTTCCCTGTTAGAAAATCCTCCTGGCTTTAGCTCCCTGGATACACAAAAGCAAGCACTTCCATATTTTTCATCCCTAACGTTTCGTAATTATGATTAAGAAGAAGAAGAATGCTAGTTACCTCCCATCCTTCCAGCTATGTTTACTTGCGGAGCGTTCGATCCTCCTCCCCTCCGAGCCCTGTTAAAGAGCGCGCTGTGGGGGCAGAGGGAGACCCACGCGATGGTATTTGAGTTGGCCTGAGACACCACCCTGCATACTTGGAGGAGCTAAATATTTAGTTACAAAGGAGAGAGGGTGCTTCTGAGTTTGGGTCTTTCTTGCTGGCAGTGGCAAACGGAGCGCATCCTGCAGAGGACGTTCCAGAGACACAGCCACCTACAATCCCTCACA